AGAATGCGGTCCAAAACAGTTGTGATGGCAATGCACACAGTTACATACCACATAAATCTTTTTGGTTGAATTGAAAGAATATAGGGATGTATCTGAAGTATTGGTCATAATGGAAGTGCAAAGAAAATAATGAAATCTTATTGCCAATGATGTTATGTAATTCAAGCAATTTAATTCAGTTTGAGCAGATAACTGAAAACATATTTAGTGCAGTCTTAAATTGTGTGCCTTGCTACTCCATCATTGCTTTATGTGGAAAAGTTATTACACTTTTCAATTAGCTGCGAGTTAGAATTGGAATTGGCACCCACAATCCACGACCCTGGTCTAAGTTTAAGATATTTTCTAATCAATCTGTTCAGATTTATTATTATACCCTCTGGAGCAGGTGAGAAGTGAACCCAGGCCTCCTGGCTCAGAGGTAGTGTTACAAGATGGAGAGGATCAACCAAATCAAATCAGCTTCTCTATCCCTATATTCGCATCAATGACCTTTAAAATTGACCCCAGTAGTTCTTAACCAGATTTTTGATTAACTAGTACCAAACTTTGTGAATAGCTGATACCAGACGCCAGTTTTATAGTGTAAACAAAAGATTTAACAATTTATTAATAATACAGAACCCTTAGCAGAGCAAAGTTAAACCACAAAGTAACCTATTAATGTCTATGATTTAAACCTAATCCCGTTTAATTCTAGCCCCCAATCTTAAACAGAGATAGACAGACAAACATGCAGGTTTGAGGGATAAATCAAAAGGAAAAAAATAAATGAGATGTCACCTAAAGCCTCTCTGGAGTTGAAACGTCTCTAGAGTGCTTTTTAACAAGGAACAATCTGCAATTTACTTTCTGGCCCAGCTTCATAAACAAATATCAGTTTGTTTGTTTTTTTTTTGAAACAAATCAAAGCCCAAAGGTCCTCTTCAGCTCTCAGCTCACAGTTCAAAGCTCCAAATAAAAAAACGATAATGAAATGAAAGATCAGCGAGGTTTCTAACAGTAGGAACACTATCACTGTGTCACAGGAGCCGTCCTGACTAAGCTTAATAATGACCCTGATGTACTCAATTCTGAACAGGGTCTCCTTTCCTCGTCTGATCATCTTAGCAGCGTTTTCACCCCTGTTGAAGTTGGATCACTCTTATTTGCACTTGCATTACATAATGCAGTAATGACAAACTTGCTCAGACACAAAAATACCATACCTGGTTCATGAAACTGCTGCAAGCCTTTAAGTCCTGTATTCCCAGTGAAAACCCAAACAGTCATTTCTGAAGCTATTGTTTTAAAACCATATTAAAAAATATTATATTTATACATTTAAAAAGACTGATTTCAGAATTAAAGGTGGAATCAAAGCTCAAAGCATTGTGTTCTCTGTACTTCCTGATGGGCTTAGACCTAATTAGAAAATGCAATCTTCAAATTATAATATGCATAGGTCATGGACAAGAAATTGTACAAGTTTCCCTTTTTGAGCACAAGACCCTGAAAGGTATGTGATATGGAGTATAGCCATGGGTGGAATGTGGATTGGAAACAATCATTTGGTAGCATAACGGCTCAAGTCATGTAAATCTACCAATATACTTAAGGAGGCTTATTCCAGTATCTCTGTGTGGGAATTACATTGTAAGGCACCAACAACATGTTTAGAGAAGATAATATTGACATCGTGGAGCATAGCAGTGTTTAGGGAAAATCAAAGGTTTTGCAGCAGAGATAAAGTGAGGCATAGAAGTATTAGTCAACAAGCTAAATGTTATGACTTAATGATAAAGAGAGAATGAATGGTAGTTTACCTAATGGTGGTAGCAGTTCTGGAGGTGTTATCAATTCATATAAGTGCTCTTCAGGAATAAAAACAGAAAGTTCTTGAAATACTCAGCAGATTTGCCAGCATCTATGGAAAGAGAAATAGAGTTAACACTAGGAATTGAGTATGTTTCTTCTTCAGAAAATGTATGCTTTTTTTAAATATATATATCGTTTTGTGTGTGTATATACATATTTTCAAGTATAGTTCCAGTTCAGAAAAGTAATAGTGGACTTGAAACATTAACTCCGTTTTTCTTCCTCCATAGATGCTGCCAGACCTGCGCTTTCAGTTTTCATTTCAGATTTCCAGCATACACAGTACTTTGTTTTTATTCTATTGATCCACAGGAATTGATTGCCTCTCAGAATATTATTAGCACGTCAAAATAAGTGAAACAATTTTCATGAATCTTTGATCAAAGATACTATAATACTACATCCAGGTGACCCGATTTGTGAAAATGGGACATGCCTGCAAACCTATTATTGGAAACACACCTGAAACAGCAATAGATCTGTCACAAGCTGTCCCAAAACAGCTGGTCCAGATACTGGGACAAGTATATTAAAATTAGGACTGTCATGGTCAACTGTGATCATCATAATCATATCAAATGTTTTCCAGACCCAAAACAGAATTTGAAAAAGGAACAGTAAGTTTGAGTTGTTGAAGCAGTGAATATAGAAAAGGGTAAAGGGCACATGTACCATGTACCAATATTCCAGCAACAGATTTCTGTATATAAATATATATTTTCTTGTGGCAACCTCATGATGATGGTCTTCTTCTGGCACTGCTGTAGCAGTTTGATACAACTGACTAGCTTTCTACAACTATTTCAAAAATGCAACTATTGACAAATGTGACTCCGAATCGAAGAAGCTTCATTTGCTGCAATATCAATGAAATGTTGCTCTCGTTCAGCCATCTATGAAGCGTGTGGCAGCTACCTGGGTGTCCACACCAGGTCCAAATTCAAGAAACAGCTGGATCCATCTTAACCAAAGGTGACATTTGAGAAAGGAATAAAAAAAATGCCTGCATTGTGTCTTCATCTCTCAGCAATTCTAGGATGGATCAGCTATCTGCTAAGTCGGGACACATGACTTAGTAGAATACTGCTTGGTGGAACCAACCTGCCTGATACTGTATCCCTCAGTACATCAGCACAAGCCTAGATTCTGGTCATACCTTTTTATAAATATACCTATACCTATAACAGTGGAATATGGATAACAGGTAACAATCTGTCCAGGATGCTACTGAGATGCAGCCAATAATTGTCAAAGGTTAATCTACCATGTTTGAAGGGGGCATCTTAGTCCTGTGATCCTATTGCTAAGCAAAAGCAGTCAACTATTTCTCCAAATATGTGTCATTAACATGCAGATAGAAGTATTTGGGAGTAAGTGGTGCAGTGGTAATGTCACTGCACTCAATATACAAAGGCCCAGCATACTGTCTGGGGGAGGATGGGTTGAAATCCCACCATGGTAGTTGTTGGAAATTAAATTGAATAAATAAAATTTGGAAAATAAAGCTGGCCTTATCGATTGTTGTCAAACTCCTTCTAGTTCACTCATGTCCTGTTGGCAAGGACATCTGCTATCCTTGCTTGGACTGGTCTAAATGTGACGCAAAGCTAAAATGTGGTTGACTTCCAACTGTGCTTTGAAATGGCCTAGCTAGTGACACAATTAGATCTCATGAATGACAAAAGAATGACAGAAAGGAAAAAGTACTAGAGTAGATGTATGAAATTTAATCATAGGGTCTAGCATAGTGTTAAGTAGATTGTTTGTGTTCCATTTGGATGTTGTTTTAACAAAATAGAATATACAACAACCATATACATTTTTATTCACAGAAGTTAGAATTATACGAGAAAGCATATGTTTATTTGGTAGGTTGTGACATTCATTCAGGTACTGATCGTTGTCAGAATTATGGGGTAAAATGTTGACACTGTGCCATTTTGCAGAATAGGCAGTTGATTGAAGGAATATTGCCTTATTTGAAATCGGCATAAAGGAAATAAAGCTCTGGTATTAGATTATTATGAATTTAGATTATTTTACACAGATAAAGGACTTAAGTAGCAAAATGTTGTTTGCAACAGGTACTGAAGAGTCCCGTGAATGCAAGACATTTAGTTACTATTCCAATGCAGCAATGGCAAGAAGCTAGCTCTTTTTGAGTGTCAGAATTGTGAAGAACTCAGTGAGCTACAAAAAACATGCACAGGGACATAATTTAATCCCCTCCCCACGGAAAGTTTGGTAGTAGGGACACTTAGGTGGGTGCCTGCCACCTTTCTGCCTCTGCCCTGATTAGGTTTATGGTGTGATCCCACAGTCATTATGTTCTTATGCCAGTTACAGCATGTGGATGATTTATTGGCCTTATCTAATTGCTGCAGTTTGGGTCTTAGGAAAGCCAACCGCTTCATGATAGTGAATGCCCTATCTTGCTGTGATGCCATAGGTGATGAATTCCCCACCTGTCCTTTTAGAGTTAGCCAGCTGATGAAAGCATATTGTACTATACCCCAGCTGATATTCCAAAGATCACTATTGCTGTTTTTCTGCAAAAGATGATGGTGTTGATAACCACACAAAGTGCAGAGCAAGCAAATGAACATAGCTGCAGATCCTCTTGTAGTAGGTCAAAGGCAGCCCTTGTTCTTCTTTGGTGAAGCATTATATCGCCAACATTCTTATGAACTGTGCTGCCTGACTTTAGCCTAAATCATTTGCTGCTTTTCTGCTGTCATAATAACAGCATACGCAGAGACATAATGTCATAACTACTTCTGAGAAACCCTGACTGTAGATATGGATTGGGGACTCTTCAGGTTCAAAATTCTTCTGTTATGTAGCTATAGATTTTAATTTCAAAGTTATCCTTAGTTCTCTGAATAAGCAAAAGCAATGAAACACAGAATGGCCTGTTGGTAATATACATAAATAAGTACTCTCTGCACTTAATGTGTGTTTTGTATGAAGAATTAAAGAGCATGGGGAAATGCAATAAGGAGTGATGTTGTGGTAGAAACCTGGTGGAGATAGTTATGTCCAATATTACTTCTATACTAAGCTATTTGTCCCCATCACGAACCAAAACTACGCTTGGAATTGCATCCTCAAACACTTTAAGGTAAAGATTACAGAACACAACATTTTGAGCTTTCTTATTGCAATTATTTAATTCTGTTTTCTTGAAAAGACCTTATTTTAGGTGATACTTCACAATATTGCAGTTGTGTCTTCCTTATCTCTCAGGGTCTTGTTGATGAAGGAAAACAAAGAGTCAATCAGAATCTTAATGGAGAAATGTCTATTAATTCAGTTTATAAAGAAGCCGCCATCGAATTTTCTAGAATATCCTCGGTTGGTAGCAGCTGTGTGTTGGCTTCCTGTGAAGAGAAGTAAATAAAACATGTTACATTCAGTCTAAAGAATACAGTATCTTTCCCAAATCATTTTTTTCTATTCTCTTCAGAAGAACATGACTCTAAAGGCTTAGTAGTGTTCAGCTCTAGGACATAAGTTTGAGTCTCAGCAGTGAGTACCAGAACCATATTCCATTCTGGCATTAGTTTTGAGCAGCGATAAAGTCAGAGCTTCCTAACATGTTATTCAATAATATAACAAGAAAAATGTTTATATTTTTGGATTATTGCTGTTGCTGCACTGCCATATCTTCATTGGAATTGAAACAAAAATGAGGCATCTAACAAGTTTTTGTGAACATTAGGTGTAAGAGTAGGCCATTTGACTCCTTGAACCTGCTCTAACGTTAAAGAAGATCATGGTTAATCTTCTATCTCAAAGTAATTTTATCGCCTTATTACCATATCCCCCCTTGCTATATTAACTTAGTAGACATCTCTACTAACTGGTACAGTTAGTGAAGTTATGGCAGTTCAGTGAAGAAGTTTTTAGGGAGAGTAGAAATTACATGTTTATTAAATTTGTAAAAATCAATTCTAAGTCAAGGCAAGGCTGAGACAAGGTGCTAAATCATCCTGACCTCAGCAATGAGGCTAGGAGGTTTTGACTCGTGGGCTGGATCTGTTTGCACCTTAGCAGTTGCTCTCCAAAAATTAGAAGAAGCCACAACTGGCTGGTGGACGGGAGTCGAATGTATAAATCCTGTGAAGCTCTTTGTAAAGCAATGATCCTAAGCATTGAGGTAGACAAAACCTCACAATTAATACTAAAGTGACAGAGCATGGGAGGTCTTAGCCTCACTTATAGGGTCACTGCCCAATCCACATCTTCAAACAAAAGATCCACTGGACACAGAGATAGTAGGAACTGCAGATGCTGGAGAATCTGAGATAACAAGGTGGAGAGCTGGATGAACACAGCAGGCCAAGCAGCATCAGAGGAGCAGGAAAGCTGACATTTCGGGCCTAGACCCTTCTTCG